GATCACGTAAATAGCAGTAAGTAAATAAAGAATCTGATGGAACTCAAGAAGGTTGTGTTTGAGTGACTGAAATTTGGGAAACACTTTTGGTCATGGGCATAGATGTCACCTTACTTTGTGACCTGATTCATCTGCACACATGGCCCTAATTTGCCCTGAGGACTAACTCTGAGTGTGTGTGTGTGTGTGTGTGTGTGTGCACGCGTGTGTGTGAGTGTGTGTGTGTGTGTGTGTGTGTGTGTGTGTGTGGCTGCAGGCCTTTGGTTTCTCTTGCCTGTGCTCCTGTGCCAATCACCTTGGACCAGCCCAGGTAAGGAGGCAAGGGGGCTCCTGGGTGGTAATGAGAGGCTGGCCCTCGTCTTCACAGCTTCTGGATTTTATTTATTTAGTCTCACTCCAGGGCTTTTGAGTGGCTTGATAGCAGCTCATGGCTGTGTATATCAGCAGGTGTTTATCATTGTGTGGTCAAGACTTTTAGCAACTTGAAGTCTGATGCACAATGAAGCATTTAAAACCTAATTCCACACGGGGTATTACCGGAGCTGGCACAGTTATGGGATGTGAATTACTACGAATTTTAGCAGAGCTTTTCCCTCCTTGAATTTCAAGCCCTTCTCCTCCACGTTTGGCTCTGTTCAGCGGCCGGCTGCAGCCGCTGAACCTTCCACAGCCAGGCCCGTGTTTCTGTTCCAGGTGCCTGTGAAGGTGAGCTGGCTGCTTGTCCTGATCTGCTTAGATGCTCGGTGGGCCCGTTCCTGTGGCTGCAAAATGCGGCCATTGTATTGACTTTAACCCCACAGCCCAGGCACTCTCGTTTCTAGCCTTGCCCCCCCCCCCCCCCCCCCCGCCTTCCTTAAGTTCTGCTTTATTAATGTAAGGTTGCCCCCCAGTGTTCAAAAAGGTCATGTGCATGGGGAAAAGGTTTCCTTCTAGAACTTCAGAAAGTCTGGCACAAATGTGTTGCATTTGTCCATAAAACCCTCACCATGTGTGTGAATCACCTGGCAGTCTTACTAAAATACAGATGTGTATTGAGTAGGTCGAGGGTGCAGCCTGCCATTCTGCACTTCTCACATGCTCCCAAGGTGACTCTGGTGCTGGGGTTGGGGACCACACTCCAAGTAACAAGGCTTAGAGTGATTTTCCCTGCATCTCGTCAGTTAATAACCACAGTGCAAGCCACAGACAATCTCCACAAAGCCTGAATGAATGAGAGGCATCCTTTCTGTCTCCCTGTGTGTTCTCGCCCCTGCCTGCCTTCCCACCTCTTCTAAATTCATTCTCCCCTTCATTCATACCTCTCTGTCTTCACTGGAACACTTACTTCCTCAAATACACCAAACTCTCACCGACCACAGTGCCTTTGCTCATGCTATCCTCGGTGCTCGGGAACACTCCCACCTCTCTTTTTCCCTTGGCTCCTTCGTTTTCATCCTTCAGCGAGTCTGTGAAGTGAGTTCCTCTCTGCCTCTCTCTCCAGTACTCTACTTGTTGTGCAGTAGCTATCTCTGTGTGCCGTCTGTCTCTGTTACTTATGTACAGTCTGTCCCCTCCTCTAGACCGGAGCTATATGACAGTCCACACTGCCTTACACACTGGTGAGTCTTAAGTGCTCTTGCCTCCCAGCAGACGCTCAGTAAGCATTTGCTGGGCGTGTGTGTAGGCGGGGAGCAAAGGGGCATTCTTCAGCGTCCTTTTGCACATTTGAGCCACCTGTCTGAAGGGGCTGTGGTGGGCACGATACTTAGAAGAATCATAGGATGAGAGGTCAGGAAAGGAGATACTTTGAAGCCACAGCTCATCTTGAGAGATGTCAAACATGAAAGAAGTGTTTCCCTTAGGACAGGAATAGGAAATACAGTGGAAATAGCAGTGAGTCTAACATTTCTTAAACAGAGTTATGTCAAATTAGCTCATGACACGCTGGATTAAACAAAGGTAGTGCAGGGCTCTGAGGGACTTTTGGCAATGTGCCTTCTGAGTCCCTAAGGCGAGGGACAGTGGCTGTGGCAGGGACACCGGCTGTGGCAGGGACACCGTGATTCACTCGCCTAGAGGCCCTTCCTTGTCTCCCCCATCTCTCTTCTTTCTCAGCACAGCACCTGCCACCCACTATCGAGTCTCAAAAGGCCCAATACATGACTTCCCAGCCTTCTGTGCAGCAAGGCCATGGACCTGTTCCTTAGTCCTGCCAATGGGACCTGAGAAGTCTCCTGAGGACTCCTGGGATAGCTTTCTGATCAAAAGAGACACATAAAGAGAAATTTCTTTCCTGTTTTTTGATGTGGTCGTATGAAGACACGATGCCTGGAGCCACAGCAGCCTTTTGTAAACATGAGGGGTCACATCTGGGGACAAAAGCCACTGTACCGAGGATGGTGGAAAGGACAGGTGAAAAGAACCTGGGCCCCTGACGGCATCGTCAGACTGCTGAACTGATTTCCTGCCGTGCAGGGCAATATGCACTCTCATTAAGTCACTCTTCAGAAGGCGCTCCTTACTTGTGGCAGAAAACATCCTGACTGCTAAGCGCGGCTAAGCTGGTCTAAGCCCCAAAAGGCTGGACTTGGCTCCTGGCTCCATCACGGTAATCATGTGTCCTCTTGAAAGCTGCTTCCTCATCTGTGAGATGGAAATAATTATTATTTCCTCCCTCCTGGGTTGTTACAGAGGCTGACTGACATGACATGAGGCATATACGAGGCATCGAGACTGGCACACTGCTGGTACTTACTAACGAACTATTGTCATTATCGTTATTTTTTGGATCACGGACCTGTATTTGTTGGAACATCTTGTACCATTTTGCAGGATCCCACGTTCTGCAGGAAACAATCTGGGTGATGTCAAATTTTAATGTACAGAAGGAGAAACTGAGGCCAAGGGAGAGCTGCTCTCTAGACTCTTTTATTTTGGAACATGTGCACGATCGGTCTCTTCCCATATCACACATTTCCACTCACACTGGAAACAACAGAAGGACACAGGTCTGGGTTGAAATTATGTGCTTTTATGGGAAACAGAAAAACCCAACAACAATAACAAAAGCCCTTCAATCTCGCCAAGTTCTCAACCAGTGATAATGAGGCAGTTTCAATGATTGTGTCTGGCTGGGGACATTTCTAAAGGGTCAGGACAGTTGAAATACACTGGCCAAAAAGAGAATTGCAGAGAGGGTTGATGTTTTAAATGAGAGTACGTTAGACCTCTTTTTGGCCCCTCATCCCATCACCCTTTCAAGTCATAGTCTCTTCTCAGTTTACAAAGATCCTTCCTGAACTTTGTTCAAATGCGATCTCTTCCAGAAAGCGTTCCTTGGTCTCCACCAACTGCATCTACCTTTTCAGGAATGCTACAAACATGCTCTCGTGCCATCTCCCATCACTTCCCGCCTTACAACTGTCACGTTTGAGTTCATGCCTGACGACACCCATTGTTAGTAGGCATGCCCCCCACCCCGGCCCAGATCCCGTGTTGCTCATCTTGGTGTTCCCATCTCCTTCCCTTATTCCGTGCTCTGTATACAGCAGGTGCTCAGCATCAGCAGGTGCTCAGTGAGGGTTTGCTGGACTGAAGTCAGTTCTATATTTGCCACGTCACATCACCAGCCTCTTGACAGTGATAATGGTTATTCTCACTTCTTCGTCTTTCCTCCACGACCTCAGAGTGATCTAAATCAAGGCATCTCCAAGAAGGAACAGACCCACCAAACATCACCAACTTGGGGTCAAAGGTTTGGGGAAGGGAGGAGAGGAGTGAAGCTAAAGTTAAGCTTTTACTCTTGTTCAGGAAGGCAAGGGGGCAGGGAAGGCAGCCACTGGGGAAATCCAGGGTGATCGTGAGCAGTGTTGGCCAATGCTTCATTCTGGAATTCTATAAGCAGCCATTCTTCCAAAGGTTTCCCCAATGAGACATGGCCAACCTTGTAGTGGGAGCCGATGACTGGTGGGGGGCTGGTTTGGTTGCCCTTTTAGCCTAGGGACCAGCAGGGGTAGACCAGGAAGCTCTCTCTGGGACATGGCCTGTCCGATGTTTAGAGGGGTATTAGAGGTTGTCTGTCTAGTTGTACTGTTGGAGCTATGATGGGAACATTAGCCCTGTGGTGTGTTGAGTTGTCAGGCACATTGATTGTAGTAAGGCCAAAGAATACAGGCTGCAGTACTGGGCCTCTCTTCCAAAGGGGGGAAGGGTCAGGAGGCGCTGGGAACAGTGGGGGTGAGAGGAGGGTCCCAAGAGGTCCTGCAGCTCCACTTCTAACAGGTGCCCTGCTCTGGCTCCTGCTTCCAGCTCCCACGTCTTCCCTCGTCTCCGCGTCAGGGCCAGGCAAAGGGGCCAGTTGCAAGTGGCGGAGGGAAGGGAAGTGCCTTTTCTTCCCCTACCGTGAGACTTGGACAAGGGAGAGGTTAGGATCAAGGACAGGAGGAGGACTGAGGAGCTGCAGAGAGGCCAAGGCCCTATCCACTTCTGTATGCTGCTGTATTGAGTAGATCCGAGGCCCACACTGCTAAGCGCATCACCCCCAGAGAGCACCGAACTCTTAATTGGAGAGGTGGAGAAAATTCTGCACGGGCTCTCAAAGGCGCTCAGGGACTTAGGGAGATCGCTGTGGCTCCTCCCATGGGAGGGCCCCTCTGGGGCCAATAAGGTGTGAAAACTCCATGGTCAGCATCCACCCTGGAGACTGGGGCAAGAGCCGAGAAGCAGAGAGAAGAGAGACTTCTTCAGGCACCTCCTTAGGAAAGAGAGTTGGACCTTGGGGGACTCAGGTTAGGGACAGATGTTTCAGTATAAAAAGGATCCCCAGCAAAAGGATGGGAGTCCCCTCAAATCCCTTCCCAAACCCCAGAGCACTTAGAAAAGAGAGAGTAAGGAGCATAAAAATATCTCGATGACGTGGGCTTGCCTGACAGTACAGAAAAGCAAGTCTCATGGCAGGCAGTGTGTCCCATTACACAAGAGAGGATTATACCGAGCTTCAGTATAGAGATTTTACATATATCTTTATATAAATGCATATATATTTATAGAGCCTCTGCCTAGAACAGCCGGGCTTGCTTCTTCAGTTCATTCCTCTTCCAGAGGGCCAGCCGGTCAAACTCAGAGATGGTCATGCCGAAGACCTGGTAGAACTCCTCCTGGGACAGGTGGCGCTGAAATAAGGTGGGAGGGGACAGAGAGGGAACGCTTGAGGATGTGAGGTGGAGGCTGGGGGCAGGTGCAGGCAGAAGCGGACCCTGTGTGTATCCTCTGGGCGTGCTGTGCTTGGCGCAGTGTGTGACCCACAGGGGTGTGGGCTGGGTAGATATCAAATGGCAGACTGTGTGCATGAATGCTTCCTCAGAGGGGCTTCTGTAGCTGGTCTGGAGAGGCCCCCCCCTGCCCAAGACTCAGTGGGGATTCTATACTTCACCTAAGTGCCTCCTCTCCACGCTTCGTGGCTGACCCCACCCGCCCGCATCCTGCTGCCTGCATTCTGTGCCCCAGGGGGTGTATGGATGAACGCTATTCCTCCTTCCTTTGGGAGTAAAAGGGGGGCATATCCAAGACTTTAGGGTGCACTTCCTCTTATTAATATTTTTACAGATGGTCCGGAAGGCTGTCCCTCAGGCCGGTCAATGAAAAAAAACTGCTGTTCCTATTTCCCCACCCACCGAATTGTCCTTTCGTATCTGTCTTATATGAAAAGAAATAGGTCACATAATGAAACATGGTTCTGCATTCCTTAGCCGGTTTCCCCCCCTCCTTTCTGCCTCCCCGACCTCTTGCCCTTCCAAGCAGCCTGGAAAGTCGATACGTTGTCAAAAGCTTTCAGAGTTAGAAATATATGGCACCTGAAATGTGGCAACATGTTAACAATTCCTGCATTTAGGTGAAAGGTAGAAGAAGGATGTTCATTTTACTCTTCTTGCAACTTTTCTGGAGGCCTGAACTTTTTCAAAATAAAATTTAACATTATGTTTGAAGAGAGAAATATCTGGCACATATCCTGCCTGAAAACTTACTGGAATCACTGAGATGCCCTGTCGGTCGCCATGATGTTAGCTAACTGAAGACTGAAGGAGATTCACCGAGAATTCTGTATACAGCCACGCAGTAATTAGCCAATTCCCCGCCTGTGTGAACTAATATTTTGGCCACATTTCCAGATCTTGAGGCAAAGGTAATTTTGATATTTTTGGTAGATAATATTGGTTGCTGGTGACTCTGAGCTGATGTTTCAATATGTAACAATATTTAACAACCCCAGCAACCCCTTGCATTGCATTTCTGTTATGCTCAATACGCATCACTGCATGATCGCCCCCATTTTTCTCACTGAATCCTTCCAACAACTCTGAAAAACAGAAATTATTTCTATCCAGTTGAAAGATGAGAAAACCAAAAGCCAAACAGTTAAAATGACTAACTCGGCCGAAAGGGAGGGAGGGCAGGTGGGAGGGAGGCCGGGGTAAGCAGCAGAGCGGAGACCGAAGGCTAGGCTTTCCGATTCCAAACACAGTGCACGATGTTGCCCCCTTGGGCAACCCCATCAAAAATTTATAAGTAATCCTTTCTATTATGGAAAAGTTTCAAAAATACTCAAAAGGGAGGAAATCACAAAATGCGTACATCTATGCCCATCAGCCAGATTCAACAGTTATCAAGGGTTTGTTAGGTTTGTTTCATCTTTTTTTTTTTTTTTCTGAAGTATTTAAAGCACATCTTAGACACTGTATCAGTTCATTCCTATGTGCTGCAACACGTATCTCCCCTAGAGATCTCAAAACATCTCAAAGCCTACCGGACATCTTCTTTCCTAAAAACAGTTCACAGTACTTCCTCACAATCACCTAATGCCTGTCCATAAGAATATGCCCCTAATTGTCTCAACAATGTCTTCTTGTTATAGTTTGTCTCTTTGAACAAAGGGGCCAACGGCATCCACAAATCACATGCGGTTCTTAGGTCCCTTCAGTCTCTGTGGGGCCAGACAGTGCTTTCTTTTGTCCATGCTGTTGACTTGTCCATAGTTGTCCCACCCACACTCAAGTCAGTGCTGAGAAATGATGTGGATGTGAGGGATTTCTCTTCTCAGTTCCTTCCACAGCAAACACTTAAGGGAACTGTAATTTAACCTCCATCTGTTTTGTTGTTGTTGTTGTTCTTGTGGAGGGTGATGGCTATGGTTGATTCCCTAGCTCATCTTCTCTGCTGTGCCCCCAAATCTTCTTTTATGAGTTTCCATGTAAAGGAATGGCAGACTCAACTTGAGAACATGCTGGAGGAGACTGAGGCTCTCCCGCTCCCCCTCTGTGAAGGACCAGCTGCTGCCCCCTTTCTTTTTTCTCTTCATGTGTCTGTCACATGGTGGGAGGGTCTGGTCCTCATTTCATTTGATTTCATTTCCGCCTCATCCTCTTCCCTGTGCTCATGTGACCCAGCCACACTCACCACCTGCTTTCCTCACCTGTGATAGGGCCTTGGCAGTGGCTGTTCCCTCTGCCAAGGATGCTCTTCCTCCTCATATAAGTGTGGCTAACTAAATGGTTCACCTATCTCAGGTCTTTGTTCAGATGTCACATTTGCAGCGAGATCACTCTGACCACCCTATTTAACACTGCAACTTACCTCTCCCTCTAAACCCCAATTCTCCGCTGTCCTTTCATTTCTTCCCTCAGCCCGGTTAGTTTCCCATGTTCCAGATCATTTATTTATTATTTGTGTCATTTAGTGTCTGTCTCTTCATGCGAGAACGCCAGCTTCAAAGGGGCAGGGGTCCCTGTTTTGTTCACTGGTATACTGAAAGCCCTGAGAACAGGACCTGGCCTATATAATAGACTTTCAGTAAGTATTTTTTGGGGGAATGACAATCTGCACTCTGAGCTCCTTGAGGAGCTCTTCAGTCCGGAGGGGACTCGTGCAGTGTTTGTAGCCCTGTGGTCTCAGCTCGGGCTCCATGTTAAACATCCCTGGAAGCCTCTCTGATGCCTGAGCTCCTTCCCCAGATTGCGATCGAATTGGTCTAGGCTGGGGAGTGGTATCGTTGTTTTTAAGAAGCTCCCTGGCTGATTCTGATTCTTAGGGCAGGGTGAGCTTCCTTCATCAGAGCTTCTGGGTGTCCTGGAGGATGTACAAGGGCAATTGGTCCTCCAGGATGAACCAGGTTCCCGAACCTCATTTCTATCCCTGAATGCTGGCTCCACTGAGCTGCTGTGGGAGCTGTCCCCTTCAGCACCATCAGCCACGCACTGTTACAGTAAAGGAGGCCCTCGTAAAAGTGGGGATAATCACATTGCTAGGCTGCTAGCCCAGCACGCTGGAGTTGGAAGGACTCATAAAACTTCCTGGCCTACTCACATTCCCCTCCCTCTGTCCCAACCCTTTATTCTGGGCGAAACCTCGGCAGTCAGTTGAAGGGTGGTTGATATGCTCATCCCAAGGGCTGTTGAACCTCCTTTCTTAGAAGCATTCAATTCCACAAACATTTTCCAGTACTTCCCCTGGTCGGAGCCCCATGGTAGAGGACTGACTGCCTCTGTCAGGCAGAGGAAACAGATAGCTCGTTGCTCTGATACAAGAGAGGGGAAGAGCTGCTTGATCTGCACTCTGGACACAGGGCTGGGGGGGGGCTGGGGGAGGGGTGAGGGACACATCCTGGGAAGGTCTGGGGGGCTCTGGGACATGGGCATCACTACGGGGGACCCTGAGGAGTCAGGAGGCTGGCAAGATGGGAGGACATTCTAGGAGGGCGAGAGGCAGGGAGAGGCACAGTGGAAAAGGGCAGTGTGCTCCTGGATTGGGGCCCAGGGACTGGAACGCCAAGCCAGGTGGAGGAGACTGCTGGAAAGTCCGATGCCACATTCGGGCCTGCCTCTGTGCTTTGTTTATGCTGTTCCGCTGTTCATGATGCTCCCTCCCCCCTCTCCACCCATCCAACCTGCGCCTTCAAAGTCCGTCCGCCCAGGTCACTGCCAGACTCTGTGCCAAGGGCTCTGTGTATAGTGTCTCACTTACTTCCGTTGGCACCTTGCGGGGAGCACCATGATTGCCCCACTCCACAGAGGAGAAAACTAAGGTTTGGAGAGGTTGTCACTTGGCCAAGCTGTCTTGCTGAGGGATGATGGCAGGGTAAGGGCTGCACCCGGAGTCTGACGTGAGACCACCTTATGCTTTTGCCTTCTACACAGCGCTGACTCCCCCATGCTCCCCACCCAGAGCACCGGTTTTCTGTACCATCCTGCAGAAAACCAGTGCTGTGTTTCTTCTTAGCAACCAGTCAGCAGGCCCCTGAGAGCAGGGACCAAATCTAACTCTTGTCTTAAGTCGACAGAAGCATCAGCGGGAGACGTGCTGAAGTTCTGCACCACAGATGCTCATCGGATTGGGAAGGCAGCACAGAGCGTTTCAACCTGGGCTCAAGGAATCAGGCTGGCATCCCTGCGTTTTCAACAAGCTGTGCGACCTTAAAGCTTTTCATTTTCTGCCTGCCCTCTCGAGCTGGGTTAGATCAGGCAACTTCTGGAATCCCTTCAAACCCAAAGGCGCCTGCTCAGTTTTCTATACTTACCTCTAAACGCGTCCGGTCCACATCCTTGGGCAGTCGATTTCTTCCTCTTGTGGTCACCAGCAGAAGTTCATAAGGGTAGATCTAAGGAGAAAGGACAGGGTGGGGGGGTGCGGTTCCAGGTCAGGTGAAGGTGGTAGGCTTATCCCTTCAGCCGCATGTTGTGTCTGGGCTCCCTCCTCTCCCCAGAAAGGGCCAGTGGTTAAAGTCTGGAGGAAGGGCTGGGTCTGTTCTTGGAGTTGCCTGACGGCCTCAAGGCACCTTCTCCCCAAAGGCAAAACCTGAATCCCCTAATACTGCTAAGAATAAGCTTGGTGGTGTTTGACATAAATGTGGCACAAGGCCTCCTAATTGTAAACGTCTCAGGTCTCGTGATTGGCAAGCCTCCAGAAAGTCTCCGAGGCCCACAAGGAACTGTCTGATTTCAGTGGGCAAAAGACATAGGGTAGGATTTGGGGAAAGCTGGCCAGGGAGGGACCGGATATGCCGGTTTCAAGAGGACCCTTGAGATTATTTATTTGGTGTTTCCTTCCCTGCATAGATAGTGTGGTCATCCTCCTGCTGGCCCCCAGTGGAGCGGCTCCCAGGGTCCCAGAGACCCCCAGGGTCAATGCATCTCCTTTACCTTGTACTCTGTAGAGAGAAAAGAGACACACACAAAATGGAAATACATTGGTTTTTGCTTTGCACCACTACACTGGCCTCTGTCTGAGAGACCCTGTCCTTGTTGAATTCAGCCCAAATCAAGGCTGGTATAAACGTAAAGGATGGCTAGAGATGGGGGTTGGGCTGATCCAGAGATAGGGTTTTCGACGAGAAGTGACTTTTGAGATAATTAGAACAGAAATAAGAGGAGATTGTGAAACACATGGGCAAGATCACCTATCTTCCAGAGGAATCCTCCCGGGTTTTGGTGCAGCCTCGTCCACCTGCCTGAGCCCGCTTGTAGGAATTGCTGGAGGCTGGCGGGAGAGCACCGCTGGCAGAGAGCATGAAGCTCATGGAATGTTCGCTGGGAACAATGTGCATTTGGCTCCGAGAGTTTCCCTCCCCCCCGGGGCTGGCAGGCAAGTCTAGCTGAGCAGTACTGGGACGACGGCATTCTGCAATGGCTCTGGGAACCCAGATGGGACAGATGGCCTGGAGATCACCCAAGGCCAGGGACTTGAGAGGAGGAGGGAAGAGGAGGGGAAGAGGGAGGGAGTGGGAAGGGAAAGGGAGTGTGGGAACTCGGGGTTTGGACAGAGCCCAGCGTAGGGCCAGAATCTGTAGTGATCCTTTGCAGAAGGTGAAGACACAGTTACGAGCAGTGCGTCCAAAGCTGCTGTGGGCCCCAGGACGGAGTGGCACTCACCTCGCATGCCCCAGTTGACGGCATTCATGCTGTCATAGTGGAAGAGGTCTGCGCTGGGTGTCTGCAGGGGAGATAGAGCGAGGGCTGGCCTAAGCGAGCTCACTGCTGCCTCCCTGGGGCCATTACCCACCTCCAGAAAATGGCCTGGGGTTGATGGGACATGGCCTCAGAGAAGCCCCAGTCTTAAGTCACGGTGACCCACCTCACTGGCACATCCCTGGTGCCTAGGCGCAGCACGTAGTTAGGCACCCTATAAATATTCATTTATTGGTGAACTACATTCCCTGCCTTCTCTCACTGCTCAAATACCGCTTTTCCTATGAAATCTGTCCTGGCAATTCTATTTAAAATTGCAAATTGCCACCCTCCCTCCCCAAGCTCCCAATCCCCCTCCTCCTGCTCACTGTTTCCCTCCCCACCCTCCCCCGCCATAGCACTCACTACCTTCTACAGTCTATATAGTTTGACTTGCATACTATTTACTACTTGCTTTCTGTTTCTCTCTACAAAAATGTTAAGCTCCAACGAGCAGGGGTCACTGATGTATTCCAAGCACCCAGAGGAGTACCCGACGTATGTAAAAAGCTTTCCATAAATATCTGTTCCGTGACCCAATGTCTAGGCTCCGGAATTGTTAACATCTTGGGGGCAATGTCTCAGCACGGCCTCTCTTACCCTGTGTAGCCCATTTCTTCGGTAGGCAGGCAGAGAGGCAGATTTGGAGATGAGGGGGTCTGAAAAGAAACAGCCAAACAATTACCAGGAGTCCCAAGCCAGGGGTCCCTCTCCTTGAGGCTATCTGGCCTCTGCTAATGGCCAATACTGTCCCCCACCCCGTGGGAAGCGGGAAGGAAAGGGGCCACCGGCTCCTCCCCCTGCTCTGCAGACTGGCAGCTGACTCAGGGATGCCTCCCCCGGCAGAATTCCAGGGTCACCTGAAGCACACGTGCACAGTCTTCTGGCCTCACCCTGCACACACCTCCCACGTGTACGAACCTCCCGTGACGAACCCCTGCGTCCTGGCCACCGGTGGCTCTGGACGCAGGCCCTGGATTTGGAGTTGGGCTCAGAGCCCAGACAGGCAGGCTCTCGTGTGGGTAGAAGAGACACGTGCTCTTCTTTTCTCTCTGGGGGCTACTGGGCACGGCAACTTTGGTTCCAGAACCAAAAACTGAGGCCTACGTCTGACAAACACGGTGGGGTGGGCTATTTGAGTTCGGGATCGTGTTGGGACATCACAGCTCCGGGGGACCCGCCTCCAGCTCTGGCTCTCACAAGACACGACAGGCTGAAGGGAGGGCAGGCAGAACATACCGCTGTCAGCCAGGTAGTGGGACCGAAGGGCTGCAAGAAAGAAAAGCCAGAAAGCCGTGTTCGTGAGGGCAGACGGACACGGTGGAAGGTTCATGGGGACAAACAGACATGGCTCCCATTCCTGGGCCACCCTGGCTGGTGGGGAGGAGGGC